AAACCAGGGTAGAACCACACACAGGAAGTGCAATAGAAGTTCAAAAAATAATACAATCTTTAAATAATACAAAGGCGGTAGGCTTTGATGAGATTCCGGTGGCCTTATTGAAGTTCTCTTCTGATGCTCTCTCTGAACCATTGAGTAATGTTATCAATTTGTCCTTTTCTATGGGCGTTTTTCCAGCAAGCCTTAAAAAAACAGTAATTAAACCATTGTATAAGAAAGGAGATCGATCGGTTTTTTCAAACTATCGTCCTATTGCGTTGATAACAAATATTGCAAAAATATTTGAAAAAATTGCATTGAGAAGAATAATGGATTTTGTAATTAAAAACAAAGTACTAAATGATACCCAAAATTGGTATATAAAAGGACGATCAACGCCACGTGCAATTTTTCAGATACTTGATAAAATTACATCAGCTATCAATGAAAATGATATCACTGGTTGTATTTTTATGGACCTAACAAAAGCATTCGACTGTATGAATCATGAAATCCTTATGAATAAAATGGGTTTCCGCGGCGTTGTCCTTGATTGGTTAAAATCCTATTTACACGGCAGAAGCCAGTGTGTTATGTCATACAGCGATTCGGGAGGAGAAGTTAGGTCTGAGTGGAAAGAAGTATTTCAGGGAGTACCTCAGGGGTCAGTCTTGGAACCTTTCTTGTTTCTTCTGTACATTAATGATTTGCCTGATGTACTTGATAGTTTACTGGTATTATTTGCGGATGATTCAACTTCTGTTGTATCTTAAAAAAGTGAAGAAGCGGTCTTATGAATGGCCAGAGAGAATTTAACAAAACTAAACGAATGGTTGTTAGGAAATAATCTACAGCTCAATATAGCAAAATCAACTTTTATGATTTTTGCAAATAAAACACCTGAGATGGAAATAATGTTTGGAGGACAATTACTCGCCTATAAACAGGAGGTGACGTTCCTCGGTTTAAAGATCGACTGCCGCCTTTCCTGGAGTCAACACATTGATGGGTCGACAACTAGTTTATCCAGAACATGTTTTGCGCTTCGAATAGTGTCACGATGTGTAGGTGAGAGAGTCGCTTTAAGTGTTTATTATGCGTGTGTTGAATCGCGTTTGAGATATGGAGTTATTTTCTGGGGAATTGCAGTAACTTCGGAACGTGTTTTCATCCTTCAGAAGAAATGTGTACGAGCGGTTTTCGGTCTAGATCCGCGTGACTCATGTAGAGCTCTTTTCGCAGAACAAAATATTCTCACGTTCCCATGTTTGTTTATTCTAGAATGTGCACTTTTTGTTATAACTAATTACCATGAATTTTTCTCAAAATATGAATTATCTCATCAACATCAAACGAGAGGCACTGAACGATTATTTTTACTACCACCGAAGACTAATTATTCTAAAATACAGAAAAGTGTTTTATATTTTTGTATAAAACTGCACAATTACTTACCGTTTGATTGGAAAGCGCTACCATCACATGTATTTAAAAAAAGATTGAAAGAATTCTTAATCGCGAAAGCTTTTTACAGGGTAGATGATTTTTTTCTCGAAAATATTTCAACCCACTAAGAAATATGTTTATTAACATCTTTTATTTTTATTTTGTACTAGATTTTTTGTATTTGAATTTGTAAATTTATTGGTATTATAATTAATTAATTAATGTTATTTACTTAATTGTAAAGGTTTTTTGTTTTTTTGACTGTTTTCTATGCATGTAAGCATTATAGAAATAAAGGGATTTATTATTATTATTATTATTTATTAAACTTTATCTTAACCATCGTAACCATGGTAATCATATAATTACTGCATCTAAATCGTTAGAATTAATGATGTTTACAATAGGTCAGCTTATGAAACTAAAACTTTGAATATCTCGAAATTGGTCCATTCTCGGACCTATGTTTATTAGACTTTTCTTGTCTGTTTTCGATCAGAGAATACGCTGATGCAGTATTGTACAATCGTTGCGGGGCACTCTGTATAATTCTTTTTTATTAACTTCCAGCTTTTGTAAATTATTATCTGAAATAGAAAATCTTTACATTGAATCAAAAAAATTCGACAAAATAATTTGTGATGTAATTAATAAATTATGGGATTACGTTTTAAATCAAACGGACGTTAAAGTCGTTGAAGCAGCTTACGGAGCTTTAGCAACTTTTCAGTTTGAAATTGTTAGTCAACAATTTTTAGAAATCTATCAGGGTAAACTTATAAATGAAGGTAATACTAAATTAGAAACAAATAACCTTCTTGTAATAAAAAAATTTTACAGATTATTGGTTTCTGAGTATTTTAAACGACCACAGTTACATTGATATAGAAGCAACTATAACATTTCTTACTAATTGCCTTAAAAGGGAAATACTAGAATATGGTAGAGGAATCTATTACATTTTAGAGTCTAAAGCTGAACCGAATAATTACGAATATTTACCAGCGAAGAGTATTTTACGTGGATTAATGGCTCATATTAAACGAAACGTAATTATTTTATAATTTTTTTTATTTTAATTTTAATTCCATTTTTAGTTAACATCTAGAACAAAAATGGAATTAGCTTGTTTTAAAATACTCAGCCAAGAATATCCGAAACCTTTACCTCCTTTAGATTGGTGTTTTTTACAAGAATTTGTCCATGACGTTAATTTTAGAAGATTTTGCATAAATATAGCGGCCCATCAAGTTATTTTATCAGGGACAGCTCGAAGATTTTTAGAAAATCTCATCGTTGCAATCACCCAAAATCCGAAAGTAAATTATTTATTTTTATTCTTATCAATTTTGTTTTATCATTTTAATTATATAGGAAGAAGATTTACGAGCGATTTTAATCAATGTTAAACATTTTTGTAACAGCATTCAACCTGTTATAATAAAACCATTCGTTGAAAGCAGTCTAAATTATGGGTTAAGTGTTTTTGAAAAGGATAAAGGGGAGTTTTTTGAGTTTATAATCAATAAAATAATTGAATTAATGGAGAAAGATGATTTTCAAGATGTAAATAAAAGTGTAATTATAAAAATTATTATTAGTAAATCAGAAGAAATTGATTTTGAATCGAAAGTAAGTTTAATAACCTTAATTTTTGTTTAAATTTATTGTTTTTTTTTTGTTCTCAAGGAATTCGAAAAATTAACTCAATGTTTTCCATTTTTTCCTTACTCAACAATAAAATCATTTATATCTCCAAAATTATGGGCGGATTTTTCATCAAAAAATTTAAAAAGATCTTTAAATATTTGTGAAACTTTAATCAAGAAATCTAATGAAAGCCCAATGGTTTATTATAACGAAATAATAAATGCATTAGGAGATGAACAAATGTAAGAATAAAACAATTTTATTACTCATATTTAATACCTCCCAATTTTAGCGATTTAGAGTATTTCTTACATAACATTTCCAAGATAACACACATTTTAAAAGATCACTACACCCTTCCGACTTGGTTTTTAGAACTATTAGGTCAAACCCAACTGGAATTGATTGATTCAAATCACTTTTCAAAACGTATTTCATTTATGTGCGATGTTTTAATTGTAACATTAGTTTCTATATCGCATCAAAATATTTTTTTGGAAAACTTTAAAAATTACAGTAACAACAGTTACATGGAAACTATAATTAAATTACTCCCACAAAGCTTTGTTGTAATTTTAAAGGAGGAAAAATGGAATAAATATATTACTCAGGTAAAATTCTTATTCATTTCTTTTTTTATAATTAAACTTAAATTTTAGGTTCTAGAATGGCTGTATTATATGGTTAATTATGAAACAACTCCGTTTTTATATCGAAAAGGTTTTTATCAATCTTTAATCGCATTGAGACATGAACCTGAATTTAAAAGCACGTTAAAATGGTTTAAATATATTGGATGTAGATGTTTAAAAGAATAAATAAAATTACATTGGTATAAATTGCTGTTAAAATTATTTATTCATAAAAATTTATTGTGTGGTTCATCAAAAATATGATAATTGATCTAGACCATCTGTATCTCTGAGGTTTTTGCACTCATGGTCTTCATTACTCCTTCTCCACTCGTCTTCCTAGGTCTTCTTCTCTTCCTTCGTTCATTGGACACTCATTTTAATACCATCTTTGGAAGTTTTCCGTCTGACATTCGTTGTATAGTTCAGCTCTTTTTCGTGATGTCTTCTATAATTGTTTCCTTGATATTTGCTATTTGTATCACGTTTTCGTTTGTTATTCATTGTTTTCTCGAGATTCCGCATGATCTTTTAAGGACGTCCTTTTCTACTGCTCTTATTTTGTTTTTATCAGCTGTTAACTACATATACTTCCTATGTATTTCCTATACTACTATACTTTTTACAATAGTATTATATACCGTTTGTCCGTAATGTAACGGATATAGGCGATAAAATCAAAATAAACGGTTTATGGAAAAATCCCTGAAACGGGTCTAAAGATTTAAATTTTTTGCAATTTTTTGGTGTAGATTTCAAATTTTTTCCGCCATTTTTAAACGAGTTATGGCGTCATCGATATTTTTTTTAAATGGCAATCCCCCATTTTTGTTGCGGAATATGAAAGAGGATTTTTTTCTGAATCGAGTATAGTCAATATTAATATTGGTTACATAAGAAAATTTTCGAGAAAAATTACTTTAAAGTTTAATTATTTCAAATTTGTATAATGATAAAAATAGCAGTAGCCATGAGTAACTATGGTAACCAATTATTCTAAACAATTCCCTAAGTGTCAAAAAGTGATTTAGTAAAGCTTCTTGAAGTGTGGTGGCGCGTCATCTTGTTGGAATAACTGCCGTTGGAATTGAGTTGTGTCAACATTATCGGGATGGAAGGAATGACATCGCTTTGGAAAAATTTAAACATCTCTTTCCACTTAAGGTTTCCTTAAATCTTTTGCGGATATTGGGTGTGCGACTTTCTTGGCTAATTTAGATTTTGGGTGGCGCAATACCGACAACATCGTCTATTTACTTGTCCACTCAATGTAAATGTCCCTTCGTCGAAAAAATTATGTTTTTGACAAAGTCTTCCTCATCGTTGCAAAAACTTCGACTCATTGCTTGTGAACCAGGTTTACTTTATGGGAATGATATTTTGCGGGTTTTAAAATTTTATGAACCGTTGATTTAGTAATGTCAAAATTAGACCCAATACTTCTTACAGTAACATGAAGGTTTTCTTGCCCAGCCAAAACCACGATTTGTTGAACTTCCCTTGCAACATTCAGTAGGCCAGACTTCGAAAAATGCTTCGAGAGATGGCCATGCTGTTTAAATTTAGTCACAGCTAGTCTCACCATACTTTGGCTAATGAGTTGGCGATCAGGATATGTTGTATTAAAGAGGTCAACTACTTACTAAATCAGTTTTTGACACTTAGGAAATTATTTAAAATAATTGGTTACCATAGTTACTCATGGCTACTGCTATTTTCATCATGTCAACAAATCTGAAGTAGTTAAACTTTAAAGTAATTTTTCTCGAAACTTTTCTTATGTAAGCAATATTAATATTGACTGCATTAGATTCAGAAAAGAATCTTCTTTTGAAAAATTCTTTTTTGAAAAATGGGGGATTGCCATTTGAAAAAAATACCGATGACGTCATAACTCGCTTAAAAATGGCGGAAAAAATTTAAAATCTACACCAAACAATTGCAAAAAAATTTAAATCTTTAGACCCGTTTCAGGGATTTTTCCATAAACCGTTTATAATGATTTTATCGCCTATATCCGTTACTTTACGGACGCACTGTATATTAAGTTTCCTTTTTCTCGAATTTCGTTGTGGCACCAAATTCCGTTTAGTCTCTATAGTTAGTCTTCCCTGTCTTAAGCGATCTTTTATTTCTAACGAATCGTTTCCTTCCTTATTTAATTCTATTCCAAGACATTTATATTTATCACATTTCTTCATTTTTTCGTTATCGGATATCTCTACTACAGTGCGCGCGTAATGTATATCGGATTTTTGTTATATTCATTGATAGGTCCCATTTTTTGTATTGTTTGATCTTTCGAGTCATGTATTCAATAACATCTTTGTCTTGGGCAATGGTAACCTAGTCATCTGCAAGTTGGACAGTGAATACTGGGGTATCATCTAATTCTAACCGCATTCTTCTACACTTCTTCTTCCAGTTGTTTAATACGTGTTCTGTGTGTATTTTGAACAGGGTGGGTGAGACACAACATCCCTGTGTGATCACTTTCGACACCAAGAATTCTGGAGATCTTCTATTTCCTAGTGTTAGCCTTGAGTTTTGCAGTCTCTATAGAGTTCTCAGGGAGCTTTTATCAAAGTGTGATAAATTTGTGTTTATTCCAGAACCTTCCATAGTTTAGATATGGGAATGTTTCATATGCGTACTGGAGGTCTATAAAGAGTGAATGTGTTTCTCTATTGGTGGCGATCCTTTTGCGATAATCTGTATAAGACCAAATATGTTGTCTTTGCTCTATATTGTTCTTCTACTTCCTGTTCTTCATATGCTCGTTCTATCAGATAAATCTCGCATTTCTGAGATCCATGGATTGATATGAACTATATTTTCCACTCTTCTTGGATCGGTTTTCCATTTTTGCATCTCAGGAAGAGCTGGCATATCATAGTAATTACTTTATTTGTTGCCTGCTTTACTAATTCACCTTTAATGTTTTCAGATCTACTTATCTTCCTGTTCTTTAATCTCTCAATTAATTTCTTTCTATATTTATTAGTTCTCGCTTTCATTCGTGTATGCGAGTCGATATTCGGTATGTAGCTTTCTGTAATATTGTTCCCATTTGTCTGCTGAAATAAGTTGGAGATTAGTTTTTTCTTCGATCTTATCTCTTCTATAATTTTTTAAGCTTTGTACTCATCTTCTACCTCCTATATACATGTCAATGTCTCTGTTGTATCACCAGTCTCCTTGCTTCGTTTCTGTCTCTTTGGTGTTTATCCATTTCAGATAAGCTTGTTTCATTTTACTTTCTTTTTATTCTATGCTTTGATTTCACCACTATTTCATTCTCGCATTGTTCTTCTCTTTCAGTCCCCGTCAATAATAATAATAGCTTTTAAACGAATTAAATGTTCAAGTGAGAAACAATAGAGTTTTAAATTTGTTACTGAACAAGCTCACAACATTATATCTGAAAGGTTAAACAATTATAATTATTATTTTAAGATAACAATGGTGGTGAAGTCCTCGTATTTATAATGAGTTTATTGAAGATATCAATATCGGTTTATTAATACATTATTATCTAATTTATATAGTTTCTTGTTATTTTTTGGTATTAAAAGTAAAATTGTGTAAATGGAATTCCCTTACAACCACCAGAAGAAATCGGCAGATTAGATTGTGCGGGTCTGTGGGACCCCACATCGCGATGAATTCCCAAAAAAGGAACAGAGTTGGACGGAGTGATTCCCCTTTGTGCAATATATTACAGATTATGCGCTAGTTGGGAGTATATAAACTCAACTCGTTTATTGTTACGAATCATAAACTCACAATTTTCAATCACACTTCCATAGATAAATTTTATTAATAGTAACTACCTTTTTCTGTTAAATAATTCTGTTAAAATTAAAGTTATTTATTGCTGCTTTCGTTATTCCTGAAGATCAATATCAACAGTATTTGGTTGTAGGGCAACATGAACCCGAAGAATATAAACTTGTAGGTGTTGATCAACACGTCAGGCACAGAAGATCGTTTGCTCCAGGTGGTATTCAAATAGGTGAAACCACGGAAAATCCTTATCCGTGGACTGTAGGTGGTAATGTTGATAAAGTTGGGCAAGATACCATTGCCAAAATTAATGCTGGTCACAGAACCGATCAAACTCAAATTACCGGATCATGGAATAAAGTTATTAGAGGTCCTAATAGGGCTAAACCCAATTGGAGCATTGAGGTGCAACACAGATGGTAGAAGATTTTAAATTTTCTGAGATAATTATCAGATATTTCGTTTGCAAGAAATTTTGGACTTAATTGTATCATCGTTACATTAAATAAAGAAAAAACATTCTGAAATAATATAAACAAACTGTTAAACCTAATTCCCTACCTGGTTACCCAAAAATTAATGTTTTACAATTGTGTTTGCATTGCCGAACACGTAATATCTTATGAAATCAACTGCAGTGATTTGCACTTAATTTGCTTATGACATCAGTGATATACAGTTTCAATAGGATGGTGCCACATGCCACACAGCTATTAAATAAATAACTGTTCAAATAGTTGAAGGGCTTATTGCTAGAACGTGACAAACTGCACCTTCTGCAAAAATTAGATTTTGCTATTTTCTCATTATGCAATAGTATGGCAACCGCATAAAAATTTGTACAAAGTTAATCGTACAGACGACTCCACTTATCCTAAAATCTCGTTCTTACGTTAACACTGCAGCGTTAAACTCTGCAGATTACAACTTGACAAGCCAACAAAATGGACGGCGCGCTTGCAACAGGTGACAAAGTCGGTGACAAAGACAGTGAAATTAACGATGCTATTAGTGAAGAATATGATAGTGTAGTAGATAAAGACTACGAACCATCTGATCTCGATGCAGATTCAGCATATATATAGGTAAGTGTTTTTTTAATATTTTTTTGTGGCATGTCATGTTTTAGCATTTTTTTAACCTGTTCAAGAGGTTTTTCACGTTATTGCATTACATTTTCAGGACGAATCTACTATATGTTTATTGGAAGGAAATAACAATCCAGGCAACGTGCGCAGAAGCCGCGAAGTTTCACCCGTACCAGCTTCAAAATCTAAATGGAGGCACAGAAACACGGACATGTAAACGAGAACGAAAAGAAAAAGTAGGCGTAATTTTAGATAAGAGTATACAAGTGAATCGACCAATAAGTGTATAAAAGCTCGTGAATTGGGATTGCCTTGTACATGCAAAAAGAAATGTAGGACTTTCCTACAAGGATGTCATGAAAAAATGTTGAAGGAATTCTGGGATCTAGGATCCTATGACTTGTAGAACAGTTACCTCTGTGGATGTATTCAGTTATCACCTAAGAAACGTTCCTATCATAAAAAGAAACTAACCAAGAATCTAGCAGACACTTTATCGCTAAATATTTCGTGACTGTTGGCGGGAAACACATAAGGCTTTGCAAAATCGAATTTATGAGTGTTCATAGTTTTCAATCCTCTCACGGCAGGATCAATAGACTCGCCAGCAAAAAAATCAGGGAGCTCCAGCTGCAGGTAAAGACAAGAGAGAGAAGCACAGTAATCGACCGAATCAGTTGAGTGAACACGAAAAACAAAAAGTCATTACAGTAGGATTGACAATTTTGAGACAACCTATTTAAACTGTGATATGACATCGTGGTACAAAGTTATAGAAGAACGTAATAAAAAACATCCATTTGTGGTTACAATTATGCAACAAACCGGTTTGAATCTAGAACCTTTGTTATCTAACATATGTATCAAAAAATGCACGCACTGACTATGGTGTAAATTTAGACTTTTCTGGAGTCTATTCTTTTCATTTTAAAGTAGATGCTCCAAAATCATTCTTTATAAAATACTCATTTAATGAAACTTATGATGAAGTTAAACTAAAACTAGAACTAATACTAGACCTAGAAACTTTCGGGCCTCGCAATTCGCTCCGTCACACCTGAAACATAAGGAAGGCAGATAAAACCGGCTGCTGTTTCTTCTGTTTGCGTGGTTTGGTGGCTCGTCGAATATCTCTCATCGTATAGCCGTTCTTCTACAGCACATCTTCTAGGAATCTTTCTTCTTTTCTTAGGTTCTCTTTATCGCATATCCTCTCTGTTCGCTGGAATAAGGCTTGAATCACGGACCTCTTCTATTGTGGGTGGTGGTGGAATGAAGCCTGCAGGTACCTATTCGTATGCGTCTTCTTTCGATATACTCCCAGTTCCATGCCCCCATCTGTCTTCGTAGTGACTAACACATCCAGGAATGGCAACTGTTTTGCAGTTTCTGTTTCCATGGTAAATTTTAACATGGGGTGCTGTGAATTGAGGTGGTCTAGAAATTCCTGGAGTTGCTCTTTTCGTCGATCGAAGTGTAAGGGAGCCATAGCTTCGGTTTCCAAGGACACCCGGCATCTTTGACTGGTACTCTGGTGAATAGAGATTCCACGTCGAAACTTATCCTGAGGATCTAGCTTCATATTCCTAATTGATTCTACAAAATGTGTGGAGTCTCTGACTTATGATTCTGTTTTACCTGTAAAAGGAGACAGAATTTTGGAAAGGTGTTTTGCTAGCTGGTAGGTAGGAGAATTTATGGCACTGACAATAGGGCGTAGTGGGACGTCTGGTTTATAGATTTTGGGTAATCCATACATCCTTGGTGGTACTGGAGCCTGTACGAATAAGCTTTTCTGTGGATCTGCTGGGATTTCTGTGGATTTTACCAGTTCTTTCATTTTCCTTACTATGTTCTCGGTTGGGTCCTTTTTTATTTTCTTATAAGTGGCTTAAAGGTTATGATGAAGTTATCATTAAAAAGAGAGGGAGGCCAGTAAATTTTCAAAACAAAGTTTGATAATGTAAAGTCTATTGCGATACATACCTCTAGTAGACCATAAATTTTTCCTCTGCCTGAGAGCAACTAACGAGGAAATCGAAGACGTGGAAGTTGTAAAATGATTTTTTGTTAATACATTTTTTTGTTTATAATACAAGTTTTTCGAAAATACTGTAAAAGATTGTTATTATAATATTACGTTCTACAAATCACAGGATTTCAACTTTTTTAATATAATAATGTAACAAGCCACATTTTTTCAAAAATAAAATTCATTAAATCTACTGGTGTTCTATTTTTAATTTCCTATTATGTTCCCTAAGCTAGAGTAAAGTATAATTTTAATACAAAGTCATTTTCAGGGTCCGATAGGTGTGAAAAAATAGTGAAAAATTGGGTCCAAAGAATCGTTTGTTGCCAACATGCTCGCGTTGGTCATATGACCGATATGAACGAAGGTTTTTCATGATTTTAAAGGTTTACATAATAGATTATTCTTTTACCTATATTTAAAGAGCAAGTATTTAAAGGTTTGATATGTGTTCAGGTATAGGGCCATATTTGGTAGACAGATGTAGAATAAATGTTGATCATATTTGCGATATATTCGACACATAAACTATTATGTCGTTACGAAAAAGTGCTGTTTTGCTATTTTACCTATATTTTTGAAAATGAAGTCGGAGAGTGAGAATACTATTTTTTTCTTTTTCTATTCCTACCCATACAAGATATAATATAAAGTATTTTAGTTTCATCACTGATGAGTGTGAGAAACGTTCTGAAAAATAGTTTGAAATAATGATTATGATCGTGCGGATATGTTTTGAAGAATTTTGTAAAAATAGCATCTATGAAATTAATAAAAAATTGTAGATTTCGGACTATTCGCTAAGCATAAATCAAGACGATTTTCAATATTTTCGTCCAAAAACTGTCTTACAATTTTTTAAGGAAATTCAGATATCAGAAAATGACGTTGATTATGTAGTTCATGAACTCCGTAATAGGGTTTTGTTTATTTGGAACGTCATTGATCGGAAGATTCACTGATGTTTTTGGGTTCTTTATTTGTTGTCAAATGATATATTGAAATATTAGACTATTTCATGTCTAATGGCCGTCTTAAAACAGCCGGAGATAAAAAATAATATGTTACCTAGTTAATTACTTTACGAAAATTCTCAAACTTAAAATTTTATCTGAATGTTTTGTTTAAAATGTGTCTCTCAGATCTCTTCAAATATCAGAAAATGTGCTTTATATTATTATAGTTGAGGTGTATTAATGTTATTGATGAATTGATATACGAAATTATTTTAAGGGATCAACACTAGAGACAATTGATGAAAATCGAAATTCTTCAATCTAAGTACGGAATTTTTAATTATCGTCATTAAACAACAACACTAAATAATGATTTTGACTTGGACTGTTATGTATACAAGACATAACAAATTCAAAGTATTCGCCGATTCGTACTGAACAAAAATTATAGTTTTAACGCAGACGGTGATAGTATGATGGGAGAGAGTTTTCACATTGAAATAGTTACTAAAATAGTAGTTTGAAATTATTTATTTTTTCGACTATGAACATTTTATTAATTAGGGTCTTAAATAATTGATAAATATAATAATGTGTATTAGTTCTTAAATAATAAATATCAAGACATTTATCTTCGAAATGTAGATATGCTTTACCACCTGTGCTGAGCACCAATACTCCAGTTGGGTTTAGACTTGTGTGGGCCCCTAACAACTTTACTCCAAGTTCCAGTAATTTGAGTTTGATCGGTTTTGTGACCAGCATTAATCTTGGCAACGGTATCTTGTCCAACTCTATCAACGTTACCCCCTACACTCCAGGGATACGGACTTTCTGTGCTACCGCCGATTTGTGTACCACCTGGAGCAAAAGATCTTCTGTGTCTGGCTTGTTGATCAAGATCCACAAGTTCATGGGGTTCATAGTGTCCCACAATAATATACTCCTGGTATTGATCCTCAGGAATAATGAAAGCTGTGGAAATAGCCACTAAGGCGAATAAAATAATGCATTTAATCATCATCTGTAACAAAAAAAAAGCGTTAAACTCAAAGAAGGTAAAAACTTGACGTATTATTGCGGTGAGAGAAGCACTTACTGTTTATTAGGTTTATATGTCGTGGCACACGTTAACTGTGTAGAAACTTACTCTATCGAGATGCTGAGTCAAGAGAATTGATTTTATGATTTGTAACAAATAAATGAGTTAGTTTATATACTCTAAACTAGCGCATAATCTGTTGTATATTACATAAAGGGGAATCACTACGTCCCGTAATTTCGACGTGTTTATTTTGGAGATTAATCTACGATCGGGAATTCTACAAACCCATACAAACTAATCTTCTGATTAGTACATTGCCCCTTTTAATTATTGTAACGGGAATTCCGTTTAAGCAATCTAACTTACGTCATCAACCAAATAGATAAACTAATTGTAAACTTTAAGGCTATCACGGCTGTTATCTTAAAATAATTATAATTCTTTGACCTTTGGGATATAGTCTCATTTTATTCAGAGACAAATTAGATATTTATAACATAAGCATAATAGTAGATAAATAAATCATTGTTTGATTAATAGTCTTATTTTTATTATATTTTTACTGATTAACTTGCAACACTGTTTATAAATGAAACATTATATCAATTAAGTACCTATGTAAAGATACCAGTAAAGATTAGAATCACATTACTGTTATTTACTTACATATTAACGTAATACTATTTAACTTAATTAGTTATATTAAACACTAAATATTGTTACGTTCATTAAGTAGACGACGACGACGTTTATTAAATGATAATGAAAATGGAATTATTGAATTTAAATCGGTCGATGGTAATGCGTTCGATCGGTGTGATTGCGTTTGCATTTAAAATTGTATCTATAACTAATAGTGCGTCTAGATATGCTGCCGATTTTAAATGTTCATAATGTTTTGCAGGTTTGTCACAGTGAAATATACATTTTCTGCTGTATTGAGACAACTGGAAATTTATTGGAGTTTGGTTGGAAGGTTTGAACGACCACGCGATTGATCCATATATATTTATTAGGAATATGATTCAAAAATGTGTTTTTGCCAAAATTATTGTAAGTTCTACCGACGTACAATATAGGGATTCTCCTGGTAGTCATTAAAATTGGTTAGAATACGCTTTATCTATAAACAAAACATTATGAAAGAAGTCAGTCCCATCGTGTCATTTAACCCCATGTGCAAAAATTTACTCTCAATAGATCCTCTTCGGGATGAAGCATTTGAGGAAGCCATAGGTGATATAGATACAAGTTTTATCTTTGAAGACTCCATAGCAGTAGTCAAAAAGTTAACAGATTGATTAACGGAGGACGCAAAATGCGGAATAACAGCTGGAATAACATGTGGCATTAATAACTATAATTATTATGTAATTAGAATTAGTTATATGATTAAAAAGGATTTATATTCTTTGATGATTATAAAATTTAAATACATGAAGATTCCTCAGAATAAATAAAAAATCAAGAGGAATCTTCATGTATTTAAATTTTATAATCATCATATAATTATTATGTTTTTCCTAACAACAGAATTACAAGAGATACCATCTGACAATAGTCAGGTATCATTAAAGATCAAATTTATTAAAACATATCTACAATGTTTGAATTTATATATGGACTGTTTGTTCGTGTTTCTGGATGAAACATGGATATACCAAAATGGTTAGGTTCGTTGATGGCTTAATGAAAATAATGTAGAAGCAAATACAAGAAAAAACAAAGCAAGGAGTATAGCGTTTCTCTATATTGCAAGCTGGTTGTAAGGACGTATAGATTGATCACCATAAGATAATTAAAGGTTACATTCATATCGCTCGAAACATTGAATCTCCAACTTAAAATTCAGGCAATGTTGATGTCGAGAAGTGGTTGGAATGTTATGACATTAAGTTTTCTAACATAGCGGAATTGTGGGCTCAGACACGCGATTGCTTTCAAATACTGATCAAGTTTATGTAGTTGATGATTTGTTAAAGTTATATGGACACGATGCTTGCGTTTTCCATCATATTGTTGCCAACACTATAGAATTATAGAATTATCTTAGGGCTTATCTAAAATACGTTGTAGAAGGAATATTAAAGTGTTGATTATGTCTCATTAAATAAAGATTTTAACGATTTTTATGCCATATGATGTGGAAGTAAGCTGAACACCAAAAAATTTGCGATTTGTTCATTATTCAGGACAAAAATGAAGAAAATCATGTTGGGTAACCCAACCAACCAGCTCGGTGGTGTATATGATTTTTGTTTGAATTTTAGACAATATCTTCTTGGTGCCGTCGATTAACACTTTAATAAAATCTTTTTGTTGAAAAGATTAAAAGATATTGTTGCCGTTTTTTACCTGGACGAAATTTTTACCTAATTTGTAGAAAATTAAACAATATTAATTGTTGAGGGTGTTCTTACTTTTCATCTGTATCAATAATCAAAAATAAAATGCTTTGAAATTTTGTACTTCTTTATTAGATGGATATATTTCTTTTTTCTACCGGTTTTGGTCCTGGTTAGACTATCTTCAGGAAACTTTCGAATTACGTCGAGATGTTTTTACTTTTAGGAACATACACTATTATTCGTATGAAATTTCTATTCTTTAACAATTCTTTTTACTTTCCAGTTGTTTATTTTATTGTAAAATATGAAATATTTCGTATATAGTATATATTTATGTAAGCATAAATGTTAGCGAGCCAAATAACATAATAGAACAAGCTCTTAACTATATACGAAATATTTCATAGTTTACAATAAAATAAAGAATTGGAAAGTATAGAATTCTTAAAGAATAGAAATTTCATATGAATAATAGTGTACGTTCCTAAAAGTAAAAACATCTTGACGTAATTCGAAAGCTTCCTCTAATAAAGAAGTACAAAATTAATGACAAAAAGTTCTTGTATTTGAAATAACATGTTCGAAATGATGTCGTTCTTCATTAATATACGCTTCTAACCAGTGTCTAAATGAACTTTGGACATTATCTCCTAAGTGCTATCGATTAATTTCTTCAAAAGCGGCAATGATACGTTGCTGCGTATCTTCTCGGTTTGTTGGTACTGTTTGATAAACAATTTCTTTCACCGTGCCCCACACGCAGAAATCCAACGCAAAGAAGTTTTTATTTACCTATATTCATTCGTTCTAAAGCCCATACACAGAAATTTTCCATCGTGTAACTCTTGGTGCAGTTTGATATGATATGGGGATATCTATGAATAGAGGTCAACACTTTTCGAAACACTCTTTTATTTTCCTAAGACCATCCACGAGCCTTTGAAATGTTCTCCGATCAGGTGTGCTTTTCTACAAATAAGCTAAAAATTTTGTCTAGGCAAAAAAGGGCAAACACATTTTTTAATCTTAAGCCTCACCAGGTTAAGAGACCAAATCATACACACCACTGAGCTGATCGGTTGGTTTTTTACTCAACCGGCAATAAACGAGCGGGGCTCCTAGTCTTGGTACACGGTACTATAAATTTAACTGTCATTTCATTTTTCTTAATTTTTGTCCTAAATAATGAATAAATCGCAATTTTTTTGTGTGAATTTACTTTACTATTAACTAACCGATGGTTTTTGAATAAATTTCAGAATGAAATGAAAGGTATTTGCTTTAACCCTTTCGGTCACACAGTCCACTGTAGGCGTACACCGCTTTTCGATAAAAAAAAAAAAGTAATATGTGTACCAAATTACTTAATTTTATCACGACAAATAAAAAGTCGTGACTGAAAAGGATAATATTAGGTGAAATCAAATTTAACACAGTTGACATACCAATTCGAGATATTCACATCCTTGTAAAATGCTCACTTAATATAATAAATTTAATTTCTTTTGTATGAATTAGCACTTTAAATCGAAAGGAATAAATGTTCAAATATTAATTTCAAGTGGTTTGGAAGTTGTAACTCACTTATGATGTTTCATTTCAAGTAAAATTTAAATTTAAGAGTTCAACACATCGTTAATAATTGTTTTACATACGATCAGAAACTAATACGATGTTATATTTCAGTCCGGTTATATTAACACAACAGGTAAAAATACAAATTTATAGAATATTATATTATTTATTTTTTTAATTAAATAATTAAATCAATTATGAACATTTTACTAATTCGTTAGCTACATTAGCTACGTTTTACCATCTGTGATGAGCACCAACACTCCAGTTGGGTTTAGACTTGTGTGGTCCCCTAACAACTTTATTCCAAGTTCCAGTAATTTGAGTTTGATCAGTTTTGTGACCAGCATTAATCTTGGCAACGGTATCTTGTCCAACTCTATCAACTTTACCTCCTACACTCCATGGATACGGACTTTCTGTGCTGCCGCCGATTTGTGTACCGCCTGGAGCAAAAGATCTTCTGTGTCTGACATATTGATCGAGATCCACAAGTTCATGTTCATCGGGTTCGTAGTGTCCTACAATCATATACTCCTGGTATTGATCCTCAGGAACAATGAAAGCTGCGGAAATAGCCACTAAGGCGAATAAAGCGAAGGATTTGATCATCATCTGCAATAAAAAAAAGTTAAGCGAAAAAATAAGTGGAAATTTGACGTATTATTCAGGTGAGAGACAAACTTACTGTTTATGAGGTTATTTCTTGTTGAATACGTTGACTGCGTAGAAACCAACTCTATGGAGCTGTTGAGTAAAGAGATTTGATTTTATGATTTGTAACAAGAAATGAGTTGCTTTATATACTCCAAACTAGCGCATAATCTGTTGTATATGAGATAAAGGGGAATCACTACGTCCTGATATTTCGCCGTGTTTATTTTGGGTATTAATCTACGATCGGGACTCCTACAGACCCATACAAACTTATCTTCTGATAAGTACATTCCTCCTTCAACTGTTGTAAGGGGAATTCCGTTTAAGCAATCTTTCTTTCCACATCAAAAAAAAAGAAACATAAGAGTCATTCATGTTTTCACGGCCGTTGTTATCTTAAAATAATAATTATAATTCTTTGACCTTTCGAATATAACGTTGAAACCTTATTTATAGATCAAATTGAATAATAATTATAAGAATATTTATTGATGAAATACAGTATGAAATACATATATATGAAATGAAACACAGTACACATAGAGGTCATCAAAAGGGGTTGAGTCAATGTACCTGCAAACAGGCGTATTGTTTTTCATCAACCCCTCGAACAATCAAAAAAAAGAAAAACAAATAACAATAACAAAAATTAATGACAATGAATATACATATAATTCAATCATATTAAAGTCGCAAAATCTATAAATAATTTTTATATCCAAACAAAACAAAATAAAACATATATATACCAAACAATATTTAATTCCAAAGAGGTAAATAACAAGATTAAACTATAAAGAATAAAGGAAAATGAAAAGGCATACTAATCAGCCCGTCGCTGAAGCAAGTACATTTTAAAAGCCGTCTTAAAGCCATGCTCACTTCGCTGCAAAAAGCTCAATGGGATGCTATTATAAACACTACAAATAACATAAGAAAATGAACGTTTAAATAGTTGCGTACGGTATCTGGGAATGGAAAGCCTAAAACGATGTCTAACATTAATGTTATGCATATCACAACGGTAACGAATTTTTGCAGTCAAATAAGGAGGGGTTCCAGATAAAATTAATCTATGAAAAAAGCAAGCAGAATGTAATTTTCTACGTTATGACATGAGCCCAAAGAGGCGTATGTGAAATCCTATCTCTTCTTCTTATTCCATATATAAATCTCAGACAAGCGTTTTGCAGACGTTGAATTCGAAGGGTAGTAGCCACATCAAGACACGAATTATAAATTACGTTGCAGTAGTTGAATAAAGACAATATAATTGCAAGTTAAACTTTGATTCAACAAGTTGCGATTACCGTATAGTCGTCGCAGCGCAGCATAAGCTCGCCTAAGTAAATTAGGTAGCTGTGCACGAATACTAAGTGATGAATCGATGGTAACGACAAATGTCTTTGCCTGATGTCAAGGGACTCTCGAACACGGACACCATCGAAACCGATCGCATTACTTTTAATTGAAAGCAGCATATCCATAACCTCCTGCTCTGAGGCTAAAGATAATTCCAGCTTTTTAGTAACCGTAGGGATCACATTTGACGAAAAGAAAGTGATTAATTCAATATCACTCTGCGAGTTATTCTGAGAGGACAAAAAGAAATCATTCAAAGCATCGACATCAACAAGACCTTCAGGAATAGAACGCTGACTTGTATTTAGAATACCCATTTTCCTGAAACTACCTGTATGTCCTATATGTATGGTCCTAAGAGATCCAAAATATCAATATTAAAATCACCCAAACAGATCAAGTTCTCTGTTACAGGAACAAACGAAGAGAGAGTCGCATCAAGGGTATCCAAAAAGCTAGGCATACCAGTATCAGGTCAGTATATCACCCCTACTGTTATCACAATATCCTTGCATCGAATCCGTATCCACAACTGTTCAATAAAGGAAACAACCTCATCCATCACTACCTCAACATCGTATTCATCCCTAACATAAATACCAACACCTCCACCTCCACCAGTACGCGTTATTCGACCTGTAAAAAAATGAGAGTAGTTATATGAGAGAATATCTACATTATAAATCTCATCTCAAAACAGTTATTAATAATAACTTATCAATCTCTAAACTATTTCATTCTAATAGTTCATTCTAAACTATTTTGATCCAAACCGTGTTTTTCTATAAGGTATAGTATTTGATTTATTTACAATTTCAATGACAAACATCATTTCAACATTTTTAAATTTTGGGGATTTTAGCTTTCTACCTAAGAAATAGTATTACCTACTAGGATTGAGATGATTGTGAAAATGTTTTTATCTACAACTATTGAATTATCTATTCGTTATACAATTGATTTTTGATGGGTAATGACACGCATTACCCATGACTGACAAAGTGTTGAATAATGAAGCCATTATTCCACAGTTCTGACACGGCCTACTAATCAAAAAATAAAAGATAACAGAAATGACAGCTTTCTTATATTGAGGTTATGTCTGAAATGTCTATCAAGTTTATTTTTTTTCCCTTTTTTTTTGATTTTTTTTTCAAAATTAAATAGTTGTAGATAACGTATAGTATTCAACTTGCGTCACTAGTATTCACTCGCTCGCTTTGCTGCTCACTCGTGTTTCAACTTCATCTTCGTGGGTAACAGCCGCCATTATACGCTTGTTGAATAATATACTATAATGGGTTCATTCTAAACTATTTTTATCAAAACCGTGTTCCTCCATTAGGTTTAGTTTTTGACTTATTTTCAATTTCAATAACAAACATCGCCAATTTTGCGATTTTAATACTAATGTATTAAAAAGATTTCAATCATTCTTTGATTAATATTTAAGGCCATTATTGTACTTTCGCCGATTAACTTTCAACATAGTTTATAAATTTAATGAAATAAATGATCGTTGCAGAATCGTAATCTGTAAATATATTATTAGGTATTAAAGCTTGGCTTATTTAATAATAAAAATGGAATTGTTAATTGAATGTGACAACATTAAAGGAACCTTCATTGCCCAGGAATTAACAAATGCTGAATATACTAATTAATTTCCCGCAATTAAACGTTAAATACGGTTTATGTAAATACAAATCCAGATAATTTAAGAAAAACTTATTGGATGTGTCTTTATTGTGATTTCATACAAACTACTTAACTAACTTTAATACCCACCGATAGTAGCTGAGCTGAAACTGATTATAAATTGAGATTTTTTGTTCAATATACACTATTTTCATACATAACATATTTTTTGGTGGTTAATTTTACTCTTCTAAGATAATGAAAACTGGGCTCGTACTAGTTATGCCTATACTCTATTATGAACAATTTTCGTGTTCAACACTTTTCTCGATCAGTTTCAATTTTTGAATAGTTAGAGAGTAGTAATAAGAGATTTCGTTTTATTCCATAAAAAAAATTATTGAAATTATTCCGATTAATTTTAGTTTTTGAGTAGTGTTACAGTGTTGTAACCTAAATAATCTCTTTTGATATTTTTAACATTTTCGTGTTTAAAATGAAGATAATATTTTTTTCTTACCTTCCCTTGTCCACAAATATTTTATATCATTATTTTTTTTAAATTCCTGACATACTCTAAATAACTGCTTAACACTAATTGTAAGTAGAACATAAAGATTCTTGTAAGTAAAATATATCTGATTATGATTAGTACAACATTTGAAACTATTTCACCTAGATCATCGGTATTTAGCTTTGGCTTCCTCTTCTTTGCTTCTAAAAATTTTTTCTTATCTTGGGTTAATTTTTTTATTATACATAGGGTAAACACGCCAGTGGTGTACCACTGAAGACATATTTGAAATTCAAAACCCATTAAAAAATAGAACTAATGAACTGATCCTTTTAAATTACGATAGGTAGAATATTTCATTTTGGAAATCTATAACCGATTCATGCTAGGACAAAATAAAACTAAAATTATCCTAAAAAAGGTTCAAAAGGACCTAATATGCCAGTAGTCGACCATTTCCTCCATCGAGTCGACCAGTATAAGTCCAGTGGTCGACCGGCATTTCTTCAGCGTGCAGTCAGTTTATTTTTTATAACTCGTAATATTTTTTCAGTAAATTTATTTATAAAAATCAATTAAATATTCAGGTTTTAATTTTTTATTTGGTTTTGACAAGAAGATATATACTAATTTATTAAATCAAAAACTATAAACATAACAAATCAACTTAAGCTATTTCTAATATTTTCTGGCAAAGTGGACGAACGTAAGTAGAAGTGGTTTCATTCTCTGAACCATTTTCGTATTGCTTCTTCTGTAATTATTGCTCGTGATTTTGACAGACCTTCGGACTCCCGAAAGACAATATTTTGTCATCTACAAAATTCCGTAAACCACTTGTCCCCAGGTCTTTGAAGGGTGTTCGTCTTTTGAATGTACTTACAATGTGTTGAACCGATTTGAACAATTCTTCCTTCTTTAAGGGGAATCCTATCATGAATAAATGCTTTAGCCACAAATATATTTTTTTCCTCTTCTTGACTAAGAATGGTAGGTAGCTCCCTAATCAAAGGCCTCGTTTCTATTCTGCCTTTAAGCCTGTCGATCAGGCTAGTTTTGGGAATCTGAAAATTTCGAGAAGCTTCTCTTATTTCCGTACCATTATAAATTGCGTCAATAGCATCTGTTAAAGATGTTTCTGAATATCACTCTTGAGAACACTCTTTTTTTGGGTTTGACTACTTTGAATTGGCTAGATTTGACTAAAGAAGAATCTTCATAAAGCTATTTATGATTTTGAATATTTCTTTATTAAGCAATTTTTACGTATAAAACTTTTCTATTTAAAATTGTGTCTATGTCCAGATTCTAATAAAACACGATTACAATACTTTTCTAGGCTTATTGACAAATCAGGGCAGTACTACCATCACTATTTACGCAATTACTTGTAATTTACAAATTTTAAAAGAGGAAATTTTAATACTCTTTTATTTTTGAAATTTATATGTAGTTGCAGGTCGACTACTACTTAGAAGCGGTCGATCTCAAGCGTGTTTACCCTATATTGTATAGTAATTTAAATTGGAATAGAATTGTTCACTGGTCAGGACCAGATTGCAATAAAATTTAAGCGAAAAAATAATTTATTCTATTTATTACCCCATAGACGACGCAGCCCCATAGCCTACCTTTCTCTTCATAAATGACCAGGATTTATAGTCACAAGTTCTTATGATACGATTGTGACTTGTTTATGCTTAAAAATACGCACTTTATTAATGACAAGTAATCTATAGATATCTATAGACAGTCTCTATGTCTTTATTAAAAGTTATAAAATTATAAAAAAATATTGATTGAGTATATTTAGGTTGTAAAATACTTTCTTGTACACCTAATATTTCTGTAAATAAAAATCGTATACAAATGATTCTCCTTCTTGCTATTCTTAGGAAGCTTTTGTAGTAGAAGTATCTGGCGGTAATGTTAATGTAACCGGTTCTCTTACTAACGATAATAATTTGTCTAATTTCATACATTGCAACGTCCATTGATCCAAATATTGTTGCTTTTTCGGTGGTTTACACATTACGCGTAAATTTGGCGATAATTTTAAGCTTGTTATGCACCCTCTAAAAAATAGTATTATAAATTATATCACAATAACAGAATTATTTCTGTTTGTAACGTACTTATCGTCTCCAACTATTATAAAAGGAAGTTTGTAATTAAAATCAATCCTAGTTAACTTATTTCTTTTTTTAGATACAACCGCTTGTATACAAATTGGTTTGTATTTATTCACGTTTAAATCGTAAACGTATACTTTTCCATCTGCACAAGCCCCTGCGAAAACTGTTGATGAATAAGGCGCCCATTTTACATCACCAACACTTGCACCAATATCAAACACGTAAAGAGGTTCTCTAGAAGAATTAAAAATTAGAAACAAAATATCTAAATATGATTTGAAACATATACAGTCGATTATCTTCCCATATTTTCATTCTCCAATCGGCACTACACGATATAAATATATCGGTGTTATATTTATTAAAATCTATGCGATAAACGGGACCATGATGTGCTTTTAATGTTAAGAGATACGTAGAGCTGTAATGTGTATTACATTTATAAATTAATCCTTCCTCAGTACCGACGTAAAAAATCAAAGGCTGTTTCGGATGGAATACAAAACACGTAGCACAAGACTTGATTTTAAGAAATGTTCCATCTGGCCCGGGAACGGGATCTTTTTCCATATACATTGTGGTTATTGTTGTTACCGAAAGAGTATTTAGCATAAGTATCCAATTATTAACTTTGCCATCGCCGGCGACTGAATAAAAATTCAATTCTCCGTCAGGAAGATCGGGCGCCCATTTTACCTAAATGGTTAATTAAAAACATAATGATAAGGAAAATGAAGAGTTTTTTGTTTTAATGATTATACTTCGTAATTACTATTATCTTAATTACCTCCGTCACGATTCCGGAGTGTTTATTCGTGACGGCGTTACTTTTAAATGCCGGTATTCTGCACGACGCTTGAACATTATAAACCTCAACACTGCCATCGTATAATCCTATTACGCACATGTAAGGGAACTTTTTGTGGATATCTACGCACATTACGGCCGATTGGGTCATGCAAATGTGTTCGGGAAATGAAGGATTTTTAATCGTAAATAAGCATAATGCTCCATTGATTACCGGTTTTGTGAAATCAACTAAAACAATCATTAATTAGTATTTCAGTCAATGTAATTGTGTAATAGGTTTCGTGAGAACAATTGGGTCTATATGACAAGGACCAAATCTATAACCACGTATATTTATATTTATTAATTATATTTCTTGTGTGATAACAACTACATAAAGTCTGGTAATGTTTTAGTATTTTTTTGCAAATTTCATGTAACTCGAGAGAGTGGAAAGAACTCTAGATAGTAAATATGACAAGTCGTTCAGGTTTGAGTCTTCAATATTTTATTCAATGTTTGTCTTAGTTATTCATTATGGATCTTAAAGTATTAATTGCGGTTTAAAAAATTGCATTGTTGATAAAATGTACCGAATTTTGCAGCTAAAATCAAAAAGAAAAATCAAATCCAGTAGATGTTTACGTTTATCCCGATTACGCTCTGTATTCAATTTGTAGTTATTTTTTTGATATTGTCAGTACAGCATTTCTCTACTTCTCTTATTTTTGACTACCATTCTCGATCTCCTCTCGAGCCGCCTCTGTGTCCATCTTCCATCCTACCCTACCCAATTCCATTTTAGTTCTGCAATTTGGACAATCACATTTGTAATTCCCGTCCTTCTTGTTAGATCCTATAGTCACATGGTCGCGAAGTGAAACACCAAGCATTTTTTGAGAATCCCCCTGTTGCGAGGTTGTTGGGTGCATCTATTGCCCCTCCAACGTTGAAATTTGACGAGCATGTGTGTGCTATTGGGAGTAAGATTTGTAGTGGTGTTTACCTTTTGTGTAGGATATCTAATATTGTGGATATCCTTAAAGGAGTCCTTAAAGCTGCACACTATGCCTTTATTCATTCCCACATTAATTATACTATTTTGGCTTGAGGGAACAGCCTTGCAAGTCAATATGCTTTTAGACTTCAGCGTTGGGCGGTGCGTGTGCTGGGTAATCTTGGTTATGCTGAAGATTGTAGATCTTTGTTTATTAAGCTTCAGATTCTGACCTTGCCTTCACTTTACGTTCTTCAGTCAATTATACAGGGTGTCCCGAAACTCAACGTCAAGCGGGCACCGGGTGAGAGGCCAACCCATACCTGTTCTGGTAAAAATAAGAAAAAAATTCTATGTCTCTTAGTTAAGTGGTAATAGCCATATTTTTGAAAATATTAAAAATCGTTCCCGTACATCATACGAATTTTTTAAATAACTTGTTTTTTGCAGAAAAACATACAATAATAGTTTTTATGACAAGAAAAATGGCAAGTGTTGTACCATTTTGGAAACTTGACTAAACAGGCCATCTTTTAAAATTACTTGCCAAGGGTGTTATACTACTCCTTTTTTTAGAAATCGTGTGTCAAATTTGATAGACATAAATTCTTTCAACCTTAACTCAATCAAATTAATATATTTTTTTGCAAAACTAACGATTTTTGTTGTTTGATTTGTGACTTCTATAGTAGCATGGTTCACAAGGAATACATTATTAAAAAAATCACTATTAAATAGCGAAAATTTCTGACCGTAGTACCTAAAGATATGATCTACAGGACCGATTTTTAACGTTTTCAAAAATATATCTGTTACTACTTAACTAAGAGACATGGAATTTTTTTCTCATTTTTACTAGAACAGGTATGGGTTGGCCTCTCACCTGGTGCCCGCTTGACGTTGAGTTTCGGGACACCTGTATATGCACATAAACTAATGTCAAATGTATTACTCATGGATAATATATATGTTCAGTATCGCAGATTGACTAGAGGGCAGCAGGGATCGAATTACATGAGTCAGGTTTTATATAACAGGCTGCCAGCTGGCGTTCGTGACTTGACGCTGGCTAATTTAACGTCTAAGCTCAGGTCGTATCTAATTGTAAAGGCGTTCTACTCTCTTGACGAGTTTTTGCAGAGTGATGTTGTAATATAGGGAAACGCTGCGTGTTCGTATAAATATGTAATAAGCGTTAGTAATAGTAGTGGTAATGGGTTTATAACCTTTACCAATCATATGATGTAATCTCCTTCTTTTTAATTTTTAATTATTAATGTATTTTTGACGAGTGTAAAAGGACAACCTTATGGCACAACAAGAGAATGGAGAACAAAACCATATCGTCTGCAAACTTTAAATTTGTTAATTAAGTATTTTACATGTCTCATTTGGACAGAATCCGTGCTTTCATGTAGTTTCACTGACATTGTCACATTACTGTGTATATTGTGTATTAGCTTCTTATCAAATACTTTATGGAAATCCACAAAAGCCATAACAAGCGACCTATTCTGCTCGATGATTTTTTTGACTATCATTTTGATGACCTGTAGGCTCGTTCCAAATTCTTTACGAAATCCCGCTTGTTCTATCGGTTGGTAGATGTCGAGTTGTAGATTAATGTATATTAGCATGATTTGCGTCATACTACGATACCATGATTATGAATACTATAATATTACAATTAGTCTGATGACTAACTAACAATTTTACTCTAACCTAACTTTTCTAAATTTAAGATTATACAAGAGTTTCATGGTTCCTCTAGTTTCCTGATTGCATACATTGCGATCTCGAACTAACAAATACTATTTTTAGTGCTTTGTGCCCACTTTCACTACACCGCATTACACCAACTCGGACGGTTTGGTTCTTTGAAGTCCATGTACTAGCTGGCTGTTGTCCAAGAGTTATCTTTGAGCCGTTCAGAGTACTTCTGAATTTCTTCTTTCGCCGTAACTACCCTAAAATCTTCGTTGAGGTCGCTATTCCTTCCAGGCGGATCTACAACTACCTTATTCTACTTTTGTCTAACATTAATATGACTTTCTTTTGTGACTTGGGCATAAATAAGCAATGTATTATACGTCGTCAGTACAGGTTGTTTACCCATTATTTTTTATTTTACATTTTGTTCTGTCTTGGTAATATTTGCATAGAGAATGACATTGTTAATAATTGTCACCGACAGGTGTTCTACTTTTTTTTTGTGAAAAACACGTGCATCGATTTATTCTTCAACCTTAAGTTTAGTAGCTTCTTCAATTTTTCTACCCAGAGCAAGTAGTGCAGTATAATCTGCAAGGGAACATTGCCTTGGAGAATACCAACGTTAACTTCCATAACTTTGGAATATTCATCTTCACGTTAACCTGGAAATATCTATTTTTAATATAATCACTTAACGGAGCAGAGTACTGTTTTGGCATCATTATTTTTAGATTAGTTTCTAACCCTTGGTGTCAGACATTATCAAATCTTTCTACGGCAAGAAAATTGTCGTACAGATTTTCTTTTCTTCTAATTCTTTTTAATAACGTTGGTGATTTTATGCACTTGATCAATTGTTGCACGCTTGTTTTTAAAGCTATTGGGCTGGTATAGCTCTTTTTGCTTCTAGTATTAGGATTAAACGTTTCAGACATACACTCAGCAGCATAAAAAACGCATCACCTAAAATCATGACCGGTTTCAAACTGTAATAACTTTTGAACGTATTCCTCGATTTGAATAAGGTTTTTTTTTATTTGAAAGGACCCTTTACCAATATTTCTGTAGGCGTCTTCCCCATTTTGGCGCTTTTTAATTTCAGTAATGGTGACTAACCCTAATGCGTCTTTCCTTCTTACACTTTGAAGCTTGCTGTGGAGTGCACCGACAAAAGAAAATTAATTTTATTCATAACGGGCTTGTAGTCTACTCTGTTCTGATCACTTCTGTTTTTTGTTCTAGTTTCTATTGTTGTTAATACCAAACTTACAAGCTCTAAAAGATAACGCAGCTTGTTCGGCAGCGCCATCAGAAATTAAAAAAGCATGTCATGGAAATTGACGAAAACATTTCAGTGACGTTTGATTTGAAGATGCACGCAGCATTCGTTATGTTGCTCGTGTTCTTGGCGCGATAGAGAGTACGTTTTCTCGCGCCATTCAAAGATTTCCGCAGACTGGTACCTTCACCACACGACCTGAGTCAGGAAGAAGACCACACAACCCCGTGATGATCGATACATCGTAACGACCGTGTTACGAAATCGACATACCACAGCACTTGAGATAAGAAATCGTTCGAAAGTGCGTCGGGTGAACGCACAGTAAGAAGGAGATTTGAAGAAGCGGGGTTGAGATAACGGAGACCAGCAACTGGACCACAGTTGCTTCGAGAACATCGTGTTGCTCGATTAATTGCACGAGATCATGTTCAGTGGACCAATGCAGAGTGGCGAAACGTACTGTTCTCAGACGAGTCGAGGTTCGGCTTGTACTCTCCAGATGGTTATTATGCTCAGTGCAACTTCTCTGAAAGAGTACAATACCAGGGAGGATCTGTAATGGTTTGGGGTGGAATGTGCTTTGAAGCACGTACAGAGCTTTGCTTTATTAACGGCAATCTCAATGCGGATCGGTATATTAAAGAAATTTTGGCTGAACACGTGGTTCCCTTCGGCCCATTTATTAGTGACAACTTCTTGTTTATGTACGATAATGCACGTTCCCATACAGCCCGCATAGTGTCCCAATACCTGGATGATTTGGATATCAGCAGAATGGAATGGCCAGCACGTAGCCCTAATTTAAACCCAATATAGAACACATGTGGGATATGCTAGGGAAACGAGTTAGAGCCCGTGGTGCCATTATACAAACGCTAGATGATCTCCGAATAGCGCTAGAAGAAGAGTGGAACCACATCCCCCAAAATAAAATTCAAAACCTGATTCGAAGTATGCTTCGAAGGATGAGGGATACCATTCAAGCGAGGGGAGGAAATACCCGTTATTAACATTTTGTTTGATTTACTTGTCACAGTTTAATAAAATTAAATTTCATCGAGATCCATGACTTGTTTTAATTTCTGATGGCGCTGCCGAACAAGCTGCGTTATCTTTTGAGTTTGTAAGTTTGGTGTTAACAACAATAGAAACTTGTACAAAAAACAGAAGTGATGAGAACAGATGAGACTACAAGCTCCTTATGATTAAAATTATTTTCTTTTGTCGGTGCACCGCACAGCAAGCTTCAAAGTGTATGAAGAAAACACGCATTAGCGTTATTCATCATTACTAAAATTGAAGAGCGCCAAAATGGGGAAGGTACCTACAGAAATATTGGCAAAGGGTAGACCTTTCAAATAAAAAAACCTTATTCAAATCGAGCAATATGTTCAAAAGTTCTTGCAGTTTGAAACTGGTCATCATTTTAGGTGATGCGTTTTTTATGCCGCTGAGTGTAGTATTCCCAATAGTTTAGGTAATTTCGGGAGTAAGGAGATTGGTCTATAGAAGCTGCTCTCATTTTGAGGTTTTCCTGGTTTGGGTATCATAATTACCTCTGCAATATTCCAGACTCCTTTTCTTGGCCATTATTTTAGGATTTCTCCAGTCCCGGGGTCATTGCCCGGAACTTGTTTGCGGGTAACATCAATTTCTATATGTTCTTGTTGAACTTCAATCGTCGTCGTATTAGCGTCATCTGGTGGATTATTTGATGTTTTTAATTTCTTTTCAAGTTCTTTGTTTTTTAATCTTTCAAAGTTCAACTGGATAATTATTGTCTGCAACTTTTCTTGTAAACTCTGGTGTACTTGTCCAAACAGCTTGTTGGGTGTCAACCATCAGTTTTCAGTTTTCTTATAAATTTGCACTATATTTTTTAGAGGAATTAAGCCGACTTTTGTTATAGAGCTCTTGTTTAAACTAGCTCCAGCAATTACTTTACTACTTAATGTACGAGGGCGAATCAAATATTAACCGGACTTTTCTTTTTAATGTTTTCTAGATGAACTTAGTAACGTCTTGATGTATGTTGGGGGGTATGTAAACTGAAGTAAATTTGTTCGGCTCGCTAGACCAGATTGGCTGTTAGTAGCATCATGTCTGAGGAAGAAATTCACTCAATTTTTGTTCCGGGAGGATGTTATAACGTGGTTGTTTATCATCAAAACTTGTACTAGATTTAAGTGAATAGTGAAAATTTTTGTTTTTGAAGTTTTAGTTTGAATTTAATAGTGAAGTGATTCTGAAAACTTACAAAATCCGTAGCATACTGCAAATAAATCATAGTACCAAGGATTCCAGAGAATATCTGTAATGTTGTTCGTTTTGGTTTTTTCGTAAACGAATTTCCAAAGTGGGAGAAGTGTTCCTACTTCCTCTCGAAATTCATCAGATGGATCTTCCCAGTATCTATAATCTAAAAAAAAAAGGTATTGCCAAAAGATTTTCACCAGTATTATTTTTATAGGTGTCCACCAGAGTATGAGGAAATTTGGATAAATTTAAACACATCTTTGCTAGGTATGCATTATTCAGCCGTGACTTGGCCGCCTAATTCACATCTAGCCATAGATACTTATATTTCGATATTTTTGTTACATTGTCTTCAATATAACCTGATTAAACTTTCATTATTTTTACCTTTTGCAATATCATTGTAGGTATTTTGGTTTAACATTCTCTCTAAAACTTTCCAAGCTTCATATATTCGCCCTTGTGTAAGTTCGGCTGCTGTCGGTCCTGCTCTTTTAACCGGACCTGCTCCATGTTTACCAACTGGCGCTTTATCTTTCTCTTTAAGCAACCTTTCGCGTTCCCTCTCTGCTTCTTGTTCCGCAAAATCTATCAAGTATGCATCGTAAATGATCCATTGCAAAACATTTCCAGAATATATTTCAATAGGTGGTGGAGTAGTTTGAGTTCCTTGAGACTATAATTAACCAACAAGTATTAATTCAAAAGAAAATTGTTATGTTTTGTTTTGGTAAAAGTTTGATTTTTATATTATAGTTATTTTTTCTAAAATCTTACTCGAACTGGATTATTATAAGTTAAAGCAGCTCTTTCGCAAAAATTAAATTGATTGGTTAGCTTCTTTTTTGGTCCAGCAGCTGGATGCTCTGGTTCAGCGTCATCATCATGATCGTGGTGATCATGCTCTTCATGTTCGTCTTCTTCTTCTTCTTCCTCGCCCTCTTCGCCTTCGCCCAGATCCTGAACTGGTGGTTCGTCTAAGCGGATTTCGCCTGTTTCTTCCTCTTCGGGGAGTTGAACATACTCCAGAGCTACAAAAAATCAACATCTTATTCCCTAAAATTTATATTAATTAATTTTTTGTTCATACGATCAATTCCTAAAGCTATCAACTGCGCTCGCGCTTCATCAGAGTTCAGAAGTATATAGGTTCCTTTTGTTTCATAAACCACAACCATATTTCCCGGATTTGGTATAGGCGTAAATTCTCCAGTAAGGTAATTATATTCGACCAAGCCATCAGGTTGTAGAAAATTTTTTGTCATTAATATTCTTGGGACGATTTCTTTCAGCTCGACATCTTCAAGTTGTACTTGATCTTTCGGTTTTAGTAATTGTTTTGATTTTTTCCATTCTTCTAAATCGTCGTCAGCGTCAACACGTTGAGAACTAGATTTGGCGCGTTTCTTAAAATTGTATAATACAAATACTTTTTATATTTTTATAATAGTGCAAATAATAAAGTGTTTCTTAATCTATTTATTTCAAACAAGGGTAATTTTCTTATTTACACCACAATTTGTTTTTTTTAATCCACTTCTTTTCAAAATCAGAACCAGAATAGCTTATCTATGTAAACGTTACATAATAAACGTGAGGCAGTCAAAGTCAGACTCTCAAAGTAAAGCACATCGAATCTTTATATGCATTTTATTCAACAAGAACACAACATAACGTAGTCAACAGTAGCGTGGAGAGAAACAAATTCAACACGAGAATACAAGTATATGAGAGGAAACGTTTGACTCATTTTTGGTCGATTTAAGAAAAATCGCACCGAATTTTGACTTTGAGGGATTAAAATACGACTTGATTGGGACCGAATATTAAGCTGAAAGGTAATAACTGACAAAATGTTAGCTTAGTTACAATCACGATTTTCGGAAGTCTATTGTTGTTCATATATCCCATGTGGTTATGCTATTTTCCCTTCCGCTGTCTTTCCCATATCACTATGTTTGAAATGTTGCATTGATCCTATATCCGAGTTTCTCAGTCTATTCATTGTTGTTTTTCCCATTTTTGATCTTAATGTATACAGCACGGCCACTCGTAACAACAGCGGTTTAGTTTGTTTCAACTCTCTTCTAGTATCTTTACGCCTTTTTGTGCATTCTTAAATATTGCAATGGTGGAATTAGTCTCTCCAAATCTTATTGAATCACCCATTCTTCCCCGCCGCTTTGCTCTATTGAACTGTATCAGTATCCCCACCAATTACTCCATCTCGATTTTCCCTTAACCTTTTCCTCCCAGATTCTTCTTTACATAACTCCTCTGCCAGTACTCACACAAATGTCCTTTTCAACTACACATAAATATCCTGCTACTGATTTCCTCCTCCTTTTTCTATTTATGTACTTCCATACCTCGTTTTCATTCCTTCTGGTTAAAAATCCTCTTCGTTATTCCTCTTTGCTTTCTTCTCTCTTTATTTGCTTTACATACCTCCTTATATTTCCTTGTTGCTTCCCTGTATTACAACCTCCGACGCTTTACGTTTTCTCCACCACGTTATCTGCCTTCTTGCTATTCACTATCCCACCACTCGTTACCTCTTCCTCCACGTCTACGTCTATGTCTACACTTTTATTCTCTCTTTTTCATTGCTGCTTTCGTTACTTCGATTATCTCTTTCATACTCTCCCTTCTCTTCTATCTATCGCTATAATTCTCCACCTTCCTTATTCTGCACTTCATGTTTTAACCAGCATTTGCCCGCATCTTGTCCCTGCAAACTCTCTTCCTCCCTCTTTAGCAAACCATATGTTAAAGTTCCACTGATATATTCCATCACCATATATTCCTTTTACCTCCTTAGTAATGGATTCAATTTTACGTTTGGACTCCCCCATTCCCCTTGCTATATAACATAATTATGTCCGCTTTCCATCTTCACTTCTCTTTTTACCACATTCCTATCTCTTCTTTGACTTCCGTTATTATTACACCACTCGCCTTTCCCTTTCTTCTTCTCTTCTCTGCATACTGACAGACCCATTCATAACCCTGTGACAATCCTTGTTTAATTCTATCTTGCCCGCATTATTTACCCACATCTCCACCAGTGCAATCGCATCAAACTTTCGTAGGTGTCCCTAAAAATTCTCCCCTTTGTTGCAAACACCCTCCACGTTTTTTGACACTTCCCTTCTCTGTTTCCGCCCTTCGCCAATAAAAACAATACTGCGTCTTAGCAATTCAATGGGTGCCTGGTATTGTTCGCAGTACTTATCCCTGGCTTCATGCCTACACTTCCTTCTCCTCAACTTACAATTAACGTATGCCAGCCTTCGTGCCTTCCCTCCGCACTTTTTATATTCATTTCCCATTTTACCGCAGCAGTCGCAAATATCGAACAACTCTCTAAAGATCTTGTCCGATATCTTTACTACGTAGCTTGTCACTTTCCTGTCTTTCCTTGCCGTCTTGAAAATCTACTATATCTTAGATTTTTCACATCACCAAATTTTAACTTTTATTGAAAATGTTACCAGCCGGCACAGTAATATTACTCAACATTTAATTTTCTCTCAATAGTACAAACTATCCAGTAAGAAAGAAGGTATTTGTATATTCGTTAAAAAGCATTACAAGTCACACAAATGTTTTTTTATTTTTAATCTTATCTTTATACTAACTTTTTGAAAATTAAGTCCAAATTGTTAACCGAACACGTAAGTTGCCCACTCGTACCACCCTCTACATATTTCTCTGAAAACGGCGGTTATTTCAGTGCGGATATTGTTCTTCATTGCTGTAGAATTTGTGTTTAACTCGATCGAAAAGTCGGCACTTCAAAATAAATATATCTGTAAATAGTAGCTTTGTTGAATTATTTCAAGCGGCTTCGGTGTGATAGCATAACATGTTATAACAAGACCTTCAATGATCTACAGAAAATAAGTGGGAGGTTACTACGACTCAACTTCTCACTTTCTAATTTTATATCCGGAGAAGACTGGGATAAAGTGGACAGACAACAACAATGGACAAGGCTGATCGTGAATTCCAGAAGATCCGGGATACGCACATCAAGAATTTTAAATCCCTGGAACGCCGGATACAAAAGAAGAAAAGTAATAGTTTACCAGTAGAAACAATCGTCATCAACAGATCGAGTGTCCCACTAACAAAAGACGAAACCAGTGTGCTCGCCAAAGAATTGAACTACGGCATCGCCCCGAGGAAGGTCCCGAAAGAGGAAATCATCTGCGAAGTGGAAGCGGCTGTTCGAAGGATGCCCTCACTGAAAGCCGAAGAGATTCGACAAGAAGTTGTGAGAGTACTGAAGTCAGCAAAAGCACCGAAATCCAACTTAACGGTTGGTGAAAAGAAGGAGTGCCTTCTTTTCTATCTATTAAAGAAAAGTCAGAAATCGTCGTGTTACCAGCAGACAAGGGGAATGCCACCGTTGTTATGGACCAGAAAGAATATGACGACAAAATGATGACAAAATGAACCTACTGGACCCAGCCACCTATAGGAAGATCAAGAAGGACTCCACAGACAGAATCGTAAGCAAAATGAAGGACCTGAAAAAATCCACAGGAATTTCAGCAGAACAGCAGAAAGGATAGTTTGTGCAGACGCCGGTACCACCAAGAATTTATGGACTACAGAGGATTCATAAACCAGACGTCCCCCTCCATCCTATCGTCAGTACTATCAACTCCCCAACATGCCAGTTGGCCAAATATCTCGCAAAGATTCTGTCTCCTTTTACAGGGAACACGGAATCATATGTCAGGGATTCCACACATTTTGTGGAATCGATAAAAGGTATAAACCTGGATACTGAGGATATTTTGGTAAGTTTCGATGTTGAGTCTCTTTTTACCAGGGTACCAGTTAAGGATGCTGTGGATGGCCTCCGCCAGAAGCTCATTCCCGAAGGATTACCAAAACACGTACCAGATCTAGTGGAGTACTGTTTATCGTCGACGTATTTCAGCTGGAAAGGAGAATTTTGCGAACAGTTCGAAGGATCTCCATTATCACCAGTTATAGCTAATTTCTACATGGAATTATTCGAAAAAGATGCTTTGAAGAAGAGCCAGTGGAAGCCAAAACTATGGCTCCGATATGTGGATGACACGTTTGTAATATGGCAACATGGTAAAAAACGGCTCCAAGAGTTCTTGGATCATTTGAACTCTTAACATCCGATGATTAAGTTTACTATGGAAACAGAAACTGCCAAAAAACTACCTTTCCTAGATGTGTAGGCCACCAGGATGACAAATGGAGATATGGAACTTGGTGTATATCGGAAGAAGACCCATACCAACGGGTATCTACAGGCTTTATCACATCATCATCCCCAACAGAAGAGGTCCGTGATCCGTACTTTATTTCAACGAGCAGCGAAAATATATGAAGGAGATAACTTGAAGCAGGAACAACAATTTCTACGAGGCGTGCCATCAAGCAGCGAAAGAAGAAAGAGGGCGCGGTAAGTACAAAACCACTTGGATTTATCTGTCTTCCCTATGTTTCAGGTGTGACGGAACGAATTGCCTGGCACCTCAAGAAAAACGACATCGTGGTGCGATACGGGACGGTCAGCAAGATTCGGAACACACTCCCGATAGCCAACGACAAACTAACTCCATTAAAAGGAGCTGGAGTCTACCGACTATCGTGTAGTTGTGGGATGGTTTACGTTGGCCAAACTGGATCAAAGAGCATGAAAGGGATGGTTGAAGAAGATCCAGCAGTCAGCGGTGCAACATTGCCATGCAGAGGGACACCGAATAGACTTCGAACAAACAAAGGTATTGGCTAGGGATAACAGATATTACCAAAGACTGACAAGAGAAGCCATAGAAATCCATCGAGATAGAAGCAACGTGAACAGAGAAGATGGCTGAGAGCATAGCAAAACATGGAAGATGGTGGTGAACACCAAGACCTCCTCCTCACACCGGACGCGACGCAATTAGTTACCCTATATATTATACCCCTATATATATATTATACCCTATTTCAATAACTTATAACCTATTTTGCTTTACATCATATGATTCGTTTTATCGTGTTTGAAGCCATTTTATGCAGCACGCTTACACCGATGTTATTAATCGCTGTTCTTATATTTTTATTCTGTTCATCCAGTTTGTTTTTGTAAACCTTTCCACGAAAATTACTCTATTTCAATTGTAGAGTTGATAGACCAAATAAAAGGTGGGGCAGTCAAACCGTACTATTTAAAATTATTAAAAAAGTATTATAAAATAGTACAAATTTAATTTTTCTTGCAACAAGTGTTAAGAGAAACGATTTTATGTAAATCAAAAAATTAATCTTTTTTTGAATATTACTTCAGGAATATGGGGACCATCATTTTGCACACATTGCCTAAGTCTTTCACGGAAAGTATTACAGCCTCGTGGCAGTATAGCTG